TGTATGATTGCAGGGTTGCTTTCTTTCTCTGAAGTTCAGAAATGCTCGCCCTTAAATAAACAAGAAGTGCAATAAACCCGTATTGGGACGGGATAAAATATGCCGGTATAAGGGAAATAGAATGTCCTAGACCAGAGTGGACAATTAAATTGCGCATTTAGACCTGCAGAAAGACTGTTCCAACGCTGCTTTAATATAAGTGCCTAGTCAGCTGTGGGAGAACAGGCACGAGGAGAAGGCTCTAAGCCCAAAATACAGATAGAGCACGTCATAATCACGCCCTCTTTCAGAGCAGTCTTTTGGCTAAACCAACTGAAAATATCACGCAAAGCACTCTACCCCCGAGCACTGAAAGTGTCTTCCTTATAGAAAAGAGGCTGAAGACGCAAGACAAAGCCTACAGCACACAGTACGGGCGATTAACTTCTATTTGCCCAAAAATCCCTGCATTCCCGGCAGAGAGACTGTGAATTGGTCAGTTTTTGAGGATTCTTTTTATTTATTCTTGCTCCAGGCGCTAAGAAGTTGAAAATGGAAAAAAAAGGAGCTGCCGTCGCCATTGCATTCGCTACTGCAGGCATTATATGCGTGATCTTTGCAGGCAAGTACTTGTTTTCTACTCCGCCCAAGGCCAAGTCAGACACACTCAAGAAGCCAAGCATCCCAGCAAGGGGCCTTGTAAAAACGAACTGCTTCTACAATCTGGAAGAAGCCTTGGAGAAAAGCTCCAGCGAGCAAGCGAAGAAATAGCCACAGAAAGACCGTGCCCACAGCCATCCCAGCAAGAACAAACTCACCATCTGCAGCCTCTAACTCCGCAGGGAAGCCAAGGAAACCTCCAGAAGGCAAAACGAAAGCACACCTTCAGAGAGAGAGCATCTGATACTCCACAAAGTGCGCCCATACTATGTAATATTCGGATTTATTGTGTTAGTAACTCTTTCCTTATCTCTAGCTCTATTGCGGATGTTGTGCCTTCGTATATGCCGAGTATGCCCTCGTGCGGGATATGTTTCTTGTAGTTTCTTACAAATATGAGAACCACTTTATTCCAAGCCAGGAACCTCTGGTTTGGCTGCAGCAGGCCTTCCAAGACATATTCGTATATCGCATTGAGAGTCTCCTGCCTAAACTGGATGTTCTTGATCAGAACAGCAGTGATGAGCGTATACACAGAGTGCGTCCTGGTTAAGCCCATGAGTTTTCCAAGAAATTCCTCCATGTACGCCTTGTCTGGGGTGCTCTTCATGATAACTCTGCTTATAATCAGAGAAAGCGAACTCGGCATTCCGTTCTTGATCAGCGGCTTAATTACGCCCTCAAAATACGCATTTGTGCACCGATTGAGTATTTGCACGTGCGCCTTAAAAAGAGAGCACTCCAGCTTTTTGTTCTTTTTGATGTACTCTACGCTGCGAATGCGTATGGAATCAGTCACTCTCTTCTTCACTTCGTAGTAGCTCAGGGGATACCCCATTACACGCTCCACAATCTCCTTCGCTGTCTTAGGCTGTGCCACGTTTATATCTATAAGTGCTAGCACGTCCATAAACTCCTCCGGCGTCTTTGGGGCGAGCATAGACTCCTTTGAGTGCAGCCGGAAGATGGACGGCAGACTCCCTTCTTTCATCTGCTGCTCTATCTTGTCGAGTTCATCCATGTTTCTGTTTAGCATGTCGTAATAATTACTTCCATCATTTAGCTCTGCAAGCACTTGCTGTCCTATTCCCATAGCCCGTTCAACTGCAAAGAATTTTCAAGCATATAATATTTTATTTTTTAGCCTGGTAATGGAAGCAGGAGCAGAACCAGTATTAGCACTAGTATCAGAAGTAATGCAAAGAACAGGACCAGGTGGCAGTTGCCAGGTAGTAAAAGTAACTGTTGTTTCCACCGGAAGATCACTAACTAGAATAATAGAAGGACCAGTGAGGAAGGGAGACCACGTATACTTACTAGAAGCAGAAAGAGATCTTAAAGTAAGCAGACGGTAATAAATAAAAATACAGTTAACGCAGCAACCTTAACGCAGAAAGTGCAAAGCACAGCGCAAAGTGCAGTGTTTTTGTGAGATGACTGCAGTCGCCAAAAGATCAGGCAGGGCGTGCGCTGGATCTACTGCGCCTGCGTGCGTAGGAGTGCCTCTATCTGCTGTATTTCTGTTTTGTACTTTTTCGGGTCTATGAGGGGAACGTATACGCGCTGCAAATACTCTTCGATCTTGGCCCAGGCTGTGCTGTAGACTCTGTGCATTTCCGGGCGCAGAACCTCCAGAAACACCCACACCACGCAGGGATTGAATGTGCTGTTGATTTCCTCGGTGTAGTTCAGGAGGGAGGAGATGAACTCCCACGCGTGGGCCCATTCCTGCGTGTTTGCGAGTGTGGAAAAGTACACTCTGTACATCCCCAGAAGGCAGTCCAGGGGAAGGGCGGAGGTAAACATGAAAAAACGGTACTTCTCCAGGAGGGGCATTCTATTGCCCAGGCAAATAAGCAGGTACGAGTACCCGAGGGCAGACTCTTTGTTCGTGGAGACTTGCGCCTTCACTTGCTCAATGAGCCTCCTCAGGAGAACGGCCTTAAAAGACTCCAGCTTATTCGACGGGATGTTCTGCTGGATGTACGTTGCTATTATGTTCGATATCATCTGGGCCTTTTCTTTGGTGTTGTTCACCTGGGAGAGTCTTTTGTTCAGCATTTGGATGGCGGATGCTTTTTCTTCTATGCTCAGCTCCTCTGCAGGCGCCTGGGGCCGGGATACCTCCTGCTCTATGTACTCCGACACGACCAAAAACTGTCTTAGCCTTTTCTTGTGCTCTGCGTCCAGTTTAATGTTCTCTTCGATCTGCACGTATTTCTCTATTCTTTCGAGAAGAGTCGCTTGCTCCTTCTGATTGGCCTCGAATATTCTTATTATTCTCTCAAGAGCAGACATTGAAAAATATTTATGCGGAAAGTAAGTGCACTTCTACTGTGGAAATGTGCTATTTGCTGCACACAGATAGACAGAAGCAGTCGATCTGACGGAGAGAGGGTACTATTCGAGCACAACGGAGTTATGCACATATACGATCTGAGTGCGCAGGAAATAGTGGAGCGCATTGCGCCTCCCATGTCCAGATTCAGCGTATGCTCAAGTGCGAGAGACCCTGTGCAGGGCATAAGCGAAAAAGAGAGCAGGAATTCGTTGGGGGTGTACAAGGGAGTGCCAGAAAGTGCAGATTCTGGGGAGGTGCGAGAGAAGGGCGTGCTTGGGCGCACGTTCTTGCTGCAGGGAATAGTCTCTGAAGAGTGTGCGCAGGGAATTGCGCACAGGGACGGGCTGAAAGCCTCCAGGCACGAGAACAGTCTCCGGCAGCAGGTGAAAAGCAGGCGAAATGCATCAGAAGTCGGTGCGGAGTATTTGGGAGAGAGCCCCGGGAAGGGCGCAGAGGGAGGGATTCAAGCAGCGACTGCAGAGCATCTGGCAGCTGAGTTTGGGATATCCGGGGGCAAACTCCCGGATGCAATAGTCTCAGACGGAATGGTAGTTTCAAGAGAGAAAAGGCTGGGGGTGGAGTATTTGGCGTCGCAGGCGGGGGTGCTTGTGTGCGTGTATAACGAAGTTGTCACGCGAGTTTTCAAGCCTGCACGCCTTACAGAGTACATTACTAGAGAAATAACGACAATTCTGGGAAGCACTGTGATAACCCGCACAAGCATGCACCAAAACACAATACGCAGAATACACGAGGAGTACAATGCAAAAATATATTTGCTTAAGAAGATGGATGGGATGCTATATTTCTCGGAGGTGGTTATTTCAGAACTCGAAGAAAACAGGGCGGTTTTGCTGCGTAGAGCACTGCAGAGCCTGCAGAATGCGCTTCTGCTGGTGTTTTTGGGGTTTCTGCTTGTTCCCATGGGAATCCGCATATTCGGGTATAGAGACACGCCCATAAGAATTCTGCAGGGGGCGTACTACGGGTTCAGAAAAGGCCTTCTCTTCGGAAAAAAGCCTGTTTACGTTATAGTGCTCAGCAAGAAGCCTGAATCAGGCGCATCTGCGCATGGGAGGATCCAAGCTATGAATGCATCTGCGAATGCAGGACTGCACACAGAGGAGGACCGCGGCAGCTTCTACATTGCATATCCTGCGGATCTGCGCACGCTTTCGGATGCACTCGCTGAAGGTGCTGCATTCTCCGATCTCATGCGCCGCCTTTTTGCACGCGTGCAGGGCCTGCACAGGCAAGGAGTCTCTGGGATTCCGATGGAGATTCACAGCGTATACATCAACAGAAGTGCAATTGTCTTTCTGGAAGGGCGCAGCACAAAAGAGAGAAGCGAAAAAGAAAAAAACGAAACCTCTTCAAAATCTCCCAAAAAAGATACGGATTTCCTGCGAAAGAGAGGGCCAGGGCACGAGCAGGTGCGGGGAGACTATGCTGCTCTGGGGAAATTGTGCTATACCCTGCACTGTGTGCAGCATAGAGGCACGGCACAGTGCAGGCCTTTTTCCGAGGCGCTTGAAGAGATTATGCAGTACAACTACAGGGAGCACCCCAGGCTTATTTTAGACAGCAACACCAAGCAAAAAATAGAGCTTTTCGACTGGATATGCTCTCTTTTGTGCAATTCCGTGGCCCCGGAAATTCCACACCCTGTCTTTTGGACACCGCAGCAGTCGCTGGAGTTTCTCTCCCTCTTCAGCGACTATGTGTTCGACCATCCTTCCGAGCAGGTGATAGAAACGAGCAAAATATCGCAGAAGTTGGAGTGCGACTGGTCAAATTGGGACGTGTATTTGGACGTGGACCTGCTGGAAGACCTGACAAGGAGCGGGCGGTACTACTACAACACAAAGAGCACCAGAGACCTTCTCCGGCTGATCCGAAACAACGGCCGACACTTTCAGTCGATTCCAGAAAGTGGAAGGGCACACTTCAACAACGACCTGGCCACGTACATAGCATACTTTCTCAGCAGGTACCCATACATCGTGCTGTTTTCGTACTACATTGCAGGCGAGCACGGCCTACATAATGAGAAATTTTTTCTGGATATTTTTCAACAGCAATGAGATTCACGTGCAACCAAATGCAGTTTCTAAGCTCCGAGCACTTTCGGGTGCTGCTTGCAGTGGAAATGGGAAGTAAAAACCACGAGTCAGTTCCTTTGGAGCTAATCGGCAAAATAGCCAAGTCAAACTGTAACATAGATAGTATTATAACAGACTTGGTAAAACAGAAGTTCATAAAGAGGATGCCCAGCATAAACACGGGATACGAAGGATACGCGCTGACGTACAATGGATACGACAACCTGGCGCTGCACGCCCTGCAGAAGGAGGGGATTATCCAGGGTCTTGCCAACAAAATAGGCGTGGGGAAGGAGTCCGACCTGTTCCTGGGGCTGTCTCCGGACCAGAAGCTTCTGTGCGTGAAGATACACAAGCTGGGAAGAGTCTGCTTCAAAACCGTAAAAAACAACAGAGACTACCACGAGAACAGAAAGCACGCCTCCTGGATGTACATGTCCCGCCTCTCCGCCCAAAAGGAGTACGAGTACATGAAGGAGATGTACGAGAAAAGGCTCCCCATGCCAAGGCCGCACTCCCAGAACAGGCACATCGTTGTCATGGAGTACCTGGACGGGTACACTGCCATGTCTAAGCTCCAAAAGTCTGCAAAGATCATCCCGCTCGCCCTGAAGAGCACTCTTCTCTCGATCATAGACAGAATCGAGCAGCTAGGGTACGCACACGGCGACTTCAACGAGTTTAACATTATGGTGCGAGACGACTTTAAGCGGGTGAAGGTCATAGACTTCCCGCAAATGGTCCCTCTGAAAGACCCAAAAGCAGCCGAGTACATAAAAAGAGACAGAGAGGCAATTGAGACGTACTTTAAGAATTTCCAATAAAAATGCAAAATTCATTCTGTCAACAGAAGCGCATAATCCGCAGCCCGTGGGATAGGGAGGTGTAAGTCGGCCCAATAGAGTGTTTGGTCTTTGTGACGGTGTGAGCCTGGAGTGGGATATTTCGGAGAATGGGTCTAGAAAAGGAATAGATCCAGGCAGGGAAGATAAATCAATAAATTCATTCCTGTAAACAGAAGCGCATACTCGCAGGGCATATTTCCTGGCATACGGCAACAGCCCATCTACAACGAATAGTACAATATAAATACATATAAAGAATAATAGTACAGTGTGAAAACATATAACGAATAATATTACAGTATAAAAACATATAAAGAATATTACAGTATAAAAACATATAAAGAATAATAGTATAATGTAAAAACATATAAAGAATAGTACAGTATAAAAACATATAAAGAATAATAATAGTACAGTGTAAAAACACAAAGAATAGTACAATGTAAACATGCTATATAATAACCCGAGATAATAGATGGTAGGTTTATTGGTGCCGCTTCTTGTTGTTCATTCCGTCATGGCGCTTGGCATGCCCTTGCCTGTGCTTACTGTTCAGATGCCCGTGACTTCCGCGCTTCTCTACACTCAAGAAGGACTTTCCTGTTCCCCAGGGTATGCACAAAACTTTCCCGTCTTTACCCCACGCGTTCAGCTTCTTGCTTTTCGGGACTTTTATAAAGAAATTATTGCGCACGGCAGTTGTAGGGTCAAAGCTCTGGGCGTCCACGTTCAGCTTCTTCAGCGCAGGCCTTTCAGGCTTTTGCGCCTGCTCGGAGGCCTCTGCCCTTTGCCCACTTACGATCGACACTTTCCTGAGCCTCTCTTCCACGGGGGCTGCCTGCGGTTCGCTCTTCTTCTTTCCCTTCAAGCTCGAAAACACTCTATCGCTGAAGTCTCCGGTTGCGCCCTCCTTGAAAAAGTTCAAGGGAATGACCTTCAGATCGGGCTTTTTCTTCGGGGATGCGGGCCTGGAGGGAGCCTTTGCAGGGACGTGCATCTCCACGGGGGCCTTCGCTTCGGTGTTTGTGGAGGACTCTGTTAGGTCTTCCTGCGAGTCACTCTGCGGAGTCTCCTTCTCCTTCTCCACCGCGCGCATGACTGTTCCGTACTTCTCGTCCTCGGGCCTGTCGCTGATTCGGCCTCTCTCCTCCTCCAAGTGCATGTTTGAGGAGGAGAGCCCGTCTATTTTCCGGGCCAAAGTCTCTGCCTCCTGCGCGTACATCTTGTACTCCTTCGAGTTTTTGTCCAGGACTGTCGTGTAAACGGACTCGTCAAATGTTGCCTTCAGGCCAAACCTTCTCTCGTTCTCCTCGAACTGGTTCCACTCCCGGTGGGTCCTTGGCAGAGTCTCCTTGTGCGAGGACGCCTCCCTCCCAAAGAAGGGCTGCAGCTCCTTTTGCTTCACGGGCTTCTTCTTCCCTATTTCGCTGTCTATCTGGAAGGACTTCTCAGAGCTCTCGCTGTCAGACTCCCGCACAAGCGTGGACAGTTTCAGATACTCCTTCACCAGCTCCTTCCGTATGGTGATGTCGTAGGGAATGGATCCGTCCGAGAAGAAAACAAAGTTCTTCAGAATCAAAGACGCTTTTGTCTCCTTCTGAAGTTCCCCGTACCCAGTAGTCCCTGTTATCATGGTGACTATTACGACGTTCTCCTTCGCAGTAATTTCATTCCTGAGGGAGGCCACCATAGGCTCGATAGAGTGAATTCGGTCTCTCTTCAGAATTTGCTCGTACGACACGGAGACATCATTTTCCGTGTACTCGCTTAATTTGATTTCCTTCTCCGTAATGTCGACCACCCTTCCCGTGGCGCTCGTGTTGTTGTTTAGAACTAGCTTGTAAAACTCACCTTTTCGCACCTCAGAAATAGCTCTGTGCAGTTTTTCTCCTTTGTTTTTATCCCTTCTCTTTTTATCAGAATCAAAGAGCCTCTTCCCTCTAGTCTCGTCTTTCAGTCTATACATAAGAGTAAACAAACTAAAATTGAAACATAAGCAGAAATATTTTTATTCTAGAATGATCTTAAAGCCAGGCGAAGAAATTAAAACAAAGTGCCACAATGTTTCAGTGGGGATAAAGCACAGAAGGCGAGAAAAGGCGCCATCCTGCACGAATTCCAACGAGAACACTCCCCGTGCAGTGGCATATGCTAACACCGGGTGCTTTGCAGGAAACTATGCGGGCCCGTGCGGAGAACTTCCTGCAAGAGCCGAGTATATCAGCAGGCTCGCAGAGGGGGACAAGGAGAGCGAGTACGACAAGGTCTCTTCTGCGATAGGGGAGCTTCTCTCCCTGGACAAGCGAAACTACTGGGTAAACTACAAGCAGTACAGATACATGCCCCTTCTGGACGACATTGTCTTGGGGGTGGTGAAGGGGAAGGGAAAAGAGAGCTACAAAGTGGACATTGGAGCGCCCTCCTATGCAACAATAAATTGCCTGGACTTTCCCTCCGCAACAAAAAGAAACCGAGTTAATTTATCAGTGGGCGATGTTATCCTGGCGCAAGTCGTGGATGACTCTGCACACGCGGAGTGCATCATTTCCTGCAGGACGGAGGCTGTCCGGGGAATGGGCGTGCTGAAAGAGGGCGCTCTCCTGAAGGTGGGCATTCTGCAGGCCAGAAAGTGTCTCCTCCATCCGCCAAATCTTGCTGTTTCTGGGTCCACGGTCTTCTCCATGAACGGATTCGCGTGGGTCTCTCCCCCGGGGCAGGGCAACATCCGGGAAATACTCGGGAAAGTGTAGGAGTGCAAATAAATAGAAGCCTGCGCCTTCTGTGCGTATGAATAGACTGTTTATTTAATCTGGCTGTACGCCTTTCGGATAGGCTTTACAGGCTGTCTCATTTGGTCCATCTCCTCCTGCGAGTATATCACAACTCTGCTGGGGTGCTGCACGGGGGTTCCGTTCTTTCCTGTTGGGTCGTAGTCGAGGGTAATTGCGACCTGTATCCCAAGAATTCCCTGCTTCAGAAGAATGCTGGACATGCCCTTCTTGACGTAGTCCTTTGTTGCGTTACCAGAGTGCATAAGCGTACCCTCAACCACTTTGTAGCTTCTTGCTCTCTGTCCCTTGAGCTTTCCGGATATTATTATCTGCACTCCGTAAGCGCCTCCCTCCATGATAGTTCGGATGGCACCAGAGACGGCTCTTCTAACGGGAATCCCTGCGCCCAGTCGCTCTCTGATTTGGTCTGCCTGTATCTGTGCGTTCAGTGCCTTGTTCTTTATCTGCTCTATGAAGATAGAGACAGATCCAGCCTCCAGGCCAAATCTCATCTGAATTAAGGAGATCAGCTGCTTGATTCTGAGCTTGTTATCCTCCAAAAGACCCGCTGGCTTTCCTAGCTTAAGGGTGATTTCAATGGGGCTTTCGTATGGCTTGTAGTCCATGCCTGCATATCCGTCATCCTTAAGGAATTTCGTGAAAAGTTCGTTCAGTTCTGCGTACATCATTCCCTGGTTTACGATTACCAAATCGTCAGCCATTCTCTCGTATCTTCTTTCTCTGCGCTCTATTTTAGACATCTGGGGGTAGAAAAGAAAAAGAAATAAAAAGAAAAACAGAAAAAGACAAAGAAGAGTCTGCACAGGCGCCGGAGGCAGAAAACAGTGGGCAAATGCGTATTTATGTGCTATATAAAAAAGGCGTAATTTTATGCACTTTCAAGCTGTGCTGTCGCTCTAGAGCAGGGCCTTTGTTTCGCATGGCTGTGGTATCAGCAGTACAGCTTTCCCTGGATATTCAGTGCTTGCATCGAAGAATGCGGGCGCATAGGGCTAAATTGCACGAAAATGTGCTTCTTCGGGTTATTTTTCGGGTATCCTCTGCTGCTCAGGAGCCACAGAATAACGGCTTTTCACGGGAGAGACTGTGCTCTCTCCTAATGCTTGGGCCTCGGCATCCTGCAATCTCCGGAGATTCTTCTGGGATATTTGCTCTTTCTCTGCTCGTGCCGGTGAGAACTTGCATTTCTACGGAACTTTTTCCCTGCTCTATAAACGCGCTTTCTTTCCTGCGAGGGATATAGCCTCTTTTTTCTTTTTCTGGATGGACAGACTGAAGCAGATCGTAGGCAGGAAGAACCCGCTGAAACGGGCAGAGGGCATGTGCAGCATACTGGAAAACACGGAAGGAGGAGATATCGCCCTGATTCCCACGCACAGCAATTTTCAGATGCCAGAAGTCTTTCTGTCCACGCGCATACTCCCAGAGTGCGAGGCGTACTTTATGCAGGAGAGCGAAGAGATGAGCAAGGGAAAAATAGAGGAGTGGAACGAAAGAGTGGACCGGGTGATGGAGGACCTCTCTGTTGACTTTGTCATAATGGAGGCGCAGAAAGCCCCGCCCAGCGAGATCAGCCTGCTGGAGAGAGTCCAGAAAACCCTTGGGTACACAAAATAAGGCAGCTGTGCGTCTTATAGGAAAATGTATATGCACACAAAGAGTCTGCAGAGAAGTTTGAGTCTCTGCTCAGCGTGCAAAGTGTCGATGTATTCGAGTTCTACGGGGAGTATATCCATGCAGAAATAAACAGAAACAAATTTATAGGAAAGTATTCCGGCTGCAGTAAATTAATAATTACCACCAAACATATCCGACCAAAGTATTTATCAGCCTTTCAGAGACTGCAAAATCAGCCTATTGACTCTGGAGAATATGCAGAGGCGCAGCAGAGTGTGACTTTTCGGCGCGTCTGGAGTCTGTGTTTCAAACAAAGGGTTTCCGCCGCAGCCAAAAGCAAATGCTGAAAATGCACTGCAAGATTACACACACGCTCAGATGGATAGAGGAGCAGAGATGTAAAGATGCCGAAAACTCAAAGATGCTGAGAAGCAAATTACTGAGATGCAAAAATGCACTGCAGGATTACACACACGCTTAGAGGGATAGAGAAGCAGAAAATGCTGAAAATTCAAAGATGCTGAGAAATAAATTACTGAGATGCACTGCAGGATTACACTCACACACAGACGGATAGAGGAGCAGAGAAGAAGAAAATGCAGAAAATTCAAAGATACAGAAATGTAAATTACAGAGATGCAAAAATGCACTGCAGAATTACGCTCAAAGGGATAGAAAAATTACTGAGATGCAAAAATGCACTGCAGGATTACTCACGCTCAGACGGATAGAGATGCTAATTGCGTGCTGTAAAATACTCTGCGTGCGTATAATTGGCACTTGCAAATTTACTTTGTAAGGCATTTATTGTGTAATTGAGCAGTTAATAGCTGTATGCTGCCTGGATCTTCCTATAGCTGGGCGGGTTCATCCAGAGCCTCCAAGCCCACTGCACGATTGCTGGCAGGATTGCCACCATATTGACAGCGAGTATCTGCAGGAGGAATCTGGCCCACTCCCTTGGGACCTGTATCTCGTCAGAAAGAAGCCGGAAGCTCATAACATACATAAGAATGGACAAGCCCTGTGCGATTATCATCATGCTGTGCACTTTCCCCACGCACAAAAAGACCATCAGAAGCTCGTTCAGCACCAAGCACGAGAAAGTTATGCTCACGAGCTGAATTAGCACGCTCTCAAAGAAAAAGAGAGACAGCACCATAATCACCACGCCCTGGTAGTACCCCATGAACATCCACATGCTAAACGTGTTGTTGTTTAGCACGCTTCCGTTCGAGATGTCTGAGTACAGCTCTGGGAACTTTCTGGAGACCCGCTTTGTCATGTCCGTGGACAGAACAATGCTGAAGACGGGCAAAAACGTGTAGAAGGTGACATATCCGATCGATATTTTTCCCTGGTAGATGGAGATTGGGCAAAAGTTAAATAGCGACGAGAATATGCCCTGCGCCACCCCCAGGACAGTTCCCCTGTGGATTATGAACTGGGCGAGCTTAGCCGTGTTTTTGTATGAGTTTCGGCCGTGCCACAGAATAAGGTCGATGACGGACTTGAACTCGTTTATGCTGAAGTCAGCTGCCAGCGAAGCCTGCCGGCCCTCTTTCCCCACAATTCCAATTCCAACGTCTGCCTGCTGGATCATGCTCACGTCGTTTCCCCCGTCTCCAATGCAGCACACCCGCTTCTTTATGATCCTGGACACGGCCTGGGCTATTTCTGCTTTCTGCGTGGGCGAGCATCTGCAGAAGGCAACCGAAGACATTCCTGCAATTGCCTGTATAAATGCTACTTTATACTGGTCCATCAGAACGCGCAGACTGCCTCCGTCAATGACCAGGCAGCCCTTTTCCTTCTGGATTCTTTTCAGCGCAATGTCTGCATCCTGCCGCGTGACTAAGTTTGTAACGGTCAGGATTTTGCTGTACTTTGAGAACAGGCGAGAAGAAACGGCTATGCACTTTGCTGTTTCCACTTTGTCTCCCGTCAGCATCCACACTTTAATCCCCGCATTCCGCAGCGTCTCTAAGGAGACCATCACGCCGTCTTGCAGCTTGTCCTCCACGCCCGTCACCCCCAAAAGGTCCAGGCCGCTTTCCGTTATTGTGTGGGTTTTTCTGAGCTCTTCTGCCTCTTTTTCCGTGACTGTCCTGCGCCCGAAAACCATCGTGCGCAGGCCCTCCTTTGCCATGCACTCCGCCTCCTCTTCCATCCAGTCTTTTACCAGGACGAGCTTGCCCATCACAGTGTCTGCTCCTTTCATGTACAAATGGATTTCTTCGCCCGACTTTATGACGACGCCCATGGACTTTCTCTCGCTGGTGAACCGGATCGTGTGCAAAACCTCGTACCTTTTTATGCCGGACTGCATCTTGACTTCGACCCACCCAGGGCCTCGCCCCCACAGAGTAATTCCCACACGCTCCGCCCACTTCACCATTGCAATTTCGTCTGGACTCGACGAGATATACGCTATTTCGTTGTTTTCCATGTACGGAATCACGTTGTTGCAGAGGCACATTGCAACCAGCAGGTCGCATGCCGCGTAGTCTGCAGGGAGTTTTGGGCTGGCAGTTATTTCCTGCATCTCCTGTATGAAGTCCGGGGTGTAGCAAAGCCCTCCCGTGTGCATCTTCTTGATCTCCATTTCGTTCCTGGTGAGTGTTCCTGTCTTGTCTGTCAGCAGGTACGAAATCCGCCCGAGTTCTTCGGGTATATTACTGTTTCTGACCACAACAGACATCTCTTTGTCGCTCTCTATTCTTCGGGCGTAGACCAGCCGGGCCCAGTCTATGTTCACCCGCAGGCTTATAGGAATGACCGTGGAAAATATAATAATAAACCGCACGAGCGCAATATACCACATAGAATACGTCCCCCGCATAAGCATAAAAAGAATGCTGAAAACAAGGGAAACACTGCACAGAATTTTTGTGTAGAAGTTCAGCTCGCTGTCTATAAGGCCGGACTTGTTTCTGGCCTTTGTCGTGTTCATCACTGCGCGCGTGTCTTTCCCCGTGTAAACGACCACGCACAGCGAAGTCCCGCTGGCTATCACCATGTTCATCCACAGCATGTTGTCTTCGTGGACTTTGTACTGGATCCCGTCCACGTACAGTTTTCCGCTGAAAGAGTATATTTCCTTGCTGGGGGGCTCTGCAACTACTTCAAAGTACTTTTGCGCGATGCTGTCGAAGTCCGTCTCTGCCTGAAATACATTTTGCCCCATTTTGATCTTCCAGTCGGTCTCTCCGTCCAATTGGTCGGTCCTCACAAAGATGGACCCAGACGCCTCCTCTGTTTTTAGAAGCATCGCATCCGCAGGGACTCTCTCGTTCTTCCCCACGACGACCAAGTCTCCAACTGCCAGCTCAGAAGCAGGCACTTTCACAGGCCCGGACGCCGTGTACTTCGTGCACTGTTTTCTGTTTGCCTCTTTGTCTCGCCTGTATCTTTTGTGGTCGTCGATTCCCTCCTTTATGTAGACGAATATCTGCACAAGCGCCCACGGGAAGACCGAAGTCAGCGGGTGGGACACGCGAACAGCAGGAAATCCCTGCAGCACCATCACGAGGATGAAGAATATGTTTAGGAAATGCTTCAACTGCTGCGCAAAAACCAAAGGAATAAATGTAATTAGAGAGTACTTCTGGTTCCGTATTATATTCCTGGGATAGTTTTCCTCTGGATGCTTCAAATTATTGTGCACTTTCTCCAGGGAGGCATTTACGAAAAAATGTCTCTCTTCCGCGCTTTTTTCTCTCTGTGCTTGGCCTTGCGTGTTCATGCGTCTCCTGGTTTGTAAAATAAACAAGAATAAACTTTGGTTTTAGAGTCGGCCAATCCCCTGTGAAGCGCATAAATACGCGCAGTCAAGTTAGAGATGCACATGAAGAAGGAAATGGAGGAGTGGCAAGACACAATATACTCCGAGCACCTGGACGACCTGTCAGTGTGCTCGCAGCGGGAGGAAATTCTGAAGGGCCTGGAGGAGGAGTTTCGCAAGGGCCTGCAGGAAGTCCGGAAGGCAAAGGAGAAAAAAAGCCCTGCGAGCAAGCAGGAGAGGATATACAGCGAGATACACATCCCCAGAAAGGGGCAGAGCAGGTGGGAAAGCATTCGGGGGGAGCACGTTAAAAACGTCCCAATAACTGCGCCTGGGATGCCCTGTGCCTCCCCCGAGAATAGAAAAGATGCGTACAAAATCAACTTGAAAGAGCCCATTTTGTTTTTTAATGTGTGCAGCCGGCACTTGGTCTCAGTCACGGAAAAGGGCGTTATAAAGATATTTTCCATCCTGAGCAGCTGCCAGCTCGAAAAAGTGTGGGAGATATCGCACCATTTGTTTGGGTTTCTGATTCGCACGAAGGCCATTCCCCACTCTGTGGCCGACACGCTCAGCACGGTTCTCCTGGAGCTGTACTGCAAGAGGGTGAAGGACCTGGAAAAAGTCTTCCAGGAGCTGCTCACTTTCTGCAAGATAACCACGGTCAAGAAAGCATTCTTCTTCAACGGGTACCTGTGCCTGGTTTCCTCGTTTGGGGAAATGCAGATATTTGACGAGACTCTCCGGGAGATTCCCATTGGAAAGAATCTGAAGCCGATTATACGGTCCATCCTGAAGGAGCCTGTGGAGAAGAAGGAGCATGTGAACAAAATGGTGCGGCACGAGGAAACGGTAAGCCTAAAGTCCATCACAGTCAAGGTGCTTAGAAACAAGATAAAGCTCATATACTCCAAGAAGAGCGTGTACGAGGAAATAGCATTCGCAAAGAACGAGCAGGTTGTATATACGGACAATATGCTATTCCTTAAAGAGAGGGAGTCCATCCACGTGATTCTCCTGGAGTAGAAATAAAGGTGCATCCCATGCGAGTCTCCCAGAAGTTCTTGCACGAGCAGGCAGAGCTTCTTCCTTGGCCGATGATTTTAAGATGAAATGTTGTTGACTCTTATTGAGAGAGAGCAAATGATTGTCCCACTCACCCAGAGCAACCATTATGTACTTCATTGGAACGTAGCAAGTTAGATGACTAACCTCTTATACTAATGAAGACTAACGCAAGTTAGATTTTACCCAACTTGAAAAACATTTTTCGCATAAATAGAAAATACTGCAATAAAGTGACTGTTTACTTAAATCTGAAGCACCAGAAGACCTTGCTAATCTTAAATTTAGACACGTTGAATGATGCCTTGCTTTTCTTCTTAATAGTGCTCTTCCCCTGCAGGATAGCCCGGGCCATGTCCATAAATATCTCTTCAATGTTCTCGCCGCTCTTTGCGCTTGTGCCGTACCACGAAACATTCAGCTGCTCGGATATTTCTCGGATTTTGGAAACAGTCTTCAACTCGCTGATTTCTCCCTTGCTTTCATCGAGCAGGTCCTTCTTGTTTCCCAGCAGGAATATGGGTACTTTCTCCTCCACCTTGTCCCGGATTTCCCCAATCCACTTGCTCAGGGAGTCGAACGAGCTTTCTGAAGTCAGGTCAAACGTCAAGAAGATGCCGTCCGAGCCTCGGTAGTAGCTTCTGGTTATGGAGAAGAACCTCTCCTGCCCTGCGGTGTCCCATATTTGCAGCTCCACCTCTCGCCCGTCTATTTGTATGGTTTTGGATCTAAAGTCAATTCCTATCGTGGTTGAAAACGACTTTTCAAACTTGTTCTCAATAAATCTTTGCAATATAGAGGTCTTTCCCACGTTGCTCTCTCCTATTATAAGAAGCTTAAGCTGTACACATTCATCGCTCATTATTTTTTTATTGTAAATGTAAATTACTACTGCTTGTGTATGTGAAAAAAGTCTTCCCCGGGGGGTTCATAATGGACTTTATGACTTTTCCGTCTTTGCTATCTATGACAGAAATCAGGTCTCTGGACGTTGCAAAAATAAACCTCCCAGAACTTGAAAATGAGATACTGGTTATTTCGCTCGAGTGGATCTTTGCCTCCGTAAACTCTGGGGCCACATTGTCCAGGCGGGTGTAGAAAACCTTCCCTGTCTGCGAGCCAACAGCAACTCTCCGGTGCAAAGTGTCTGTGGAGGCGCACAGAATCTGCTCCGGGTACGTCAGCTCCAGGAGAGCTTCCCCATCGCAGACTTTCCCCATTATGAGAGAGCTCTTTGCAACGGAGAAGTATCTGGCATACGCGAAAACATTCCCAAATACAGCGACTGTTCCCACAGGGTGTCTCTTTCTGTACACAAACTCCTTTTTGGACAGGTTGTACAGAGCCAGCATGCCCTTTTCCAGCTGCATAAACAGGTACTTCCCGCAGAGGGAGCACTCGACTGAGAGCAGTTTGTCTATCCCCGTCTCAATGTGGGCCTGGTAGGCTCCTGAAGTGTCGTACACCATCAACTTCCCAGAAACTTCTATGAAAATGTGCCGGCTGGAGAATGCCACTATGGAGCGGCTGTTCAGAGAGTACTGCGTCTCTTCCCTGGGCCCTTCTTCCGCGTCTTTTCTGGGCCCTGTAACAGCCTCGGCTATGTTCGTGTACGAGTCGCTCGCAAAAATGGAGTGCTCCTTCAGAAAAGACGCAGTGCTTAAGACGTTGTACCATATGACAGTATTGCTCTCTGTGATCACGCCGTAGTACGTGTGCCTATTGTGAAACATTCTGAATATATTCCCTATTTCGCTCTTTCCACTTAGCTTACAGTATATTACACTCACGTACTGGTTTCTTTTGAGGGTGTCTGCATTTGTGCTTCCCAGCGAAATTATCGTGTTGTTTATGCGCCTGTACTCCATTCAGTCGGTTGTAAAATGTGCAGAAATTGAATAAAATATTTATTCTTCGTTTCAGATGATGCACGGACAGGAGAAAGACGAACAAAAAGTCTCCCCCCACGGAAAAAACAGCTCAGATATGAGACACTTTGAAATTAAATATAAGATCGAAAAAGACAAAGCATTTACAGAGCGAGAAGCTACTCCATTCTTTAGGGCAGATGGAAGGAGCAGCGCAGAGGAAAGAAGCATAGAAGTTCTCGTGGGAAATGAAGGAACTTTGCTTCGGGCGTACTCCTGCATTGGGGACCGGGTGATCTACTCTTCTGCTATTATGGTGTGTGCCTCCGCGGATATTAAGAGGCCGCCCGTAGAAAAGCCCAAGCAGGGAAAGCTCTCTCTGTACTGCAGCGATAGAGGCCTGCACACCGAGATCGAGAAAATATTCAGGCGCTCCAAAATTGTGCCTCCCGAGAAGCTTTCTGTTATCCCAAAAGTGGCTGTTTTAAACGTGAAAGTGGATGTTTTTGTGGTCCACGACAAGGGAGGGCTCTTGGCGCTGGCCACGGAGGGCGTATTCCGGGCGCTCATGAACGTAAAAGTAGCTCACCAGCTGGCGCACAGGGGAGACACTGTGAAAGCATCGCACAAGATCTCTGAGCTTGTGACTTTCTATCCAACTACAAAGGCGTGTGCGAAGGTGCGCGGAGTGCTGGTGCACGACCCAACCGAAAGCGAAGTCGCAGAGTCAACTGCGCGCTTTTCAATCACGTACACGAAGCAAGAGTCCGGCGAGAAAATGTCCAGGAACAGATCCGGGGATGTGCTGCACTGCGTGTACACTGGGGACATGCAGTACGCAGAGCTCAGGCAGGCCCTCCTGAAGGCGCTGGATGTAGAATAAATAATAACCCGAAAGCACAGAATTTACAGAGAAGAAGTGCATCTGCAAGCGGGCACACAATGCGGAGAGGCTTTCCCAGCGAATTGCCTGATTTTTGGACTTTTTCACGGAAAGCACCTGTTTTTGCACATCCGCAAAATGCGCCAATTTAGCAGTATATCCCCTGCAGGTTATCCCCTGCACTTTCTTTTTCTGCGTATTTATTTATTTTTTCTTCTTTTCCCCTGTATTGCTGCCTCACAGAGTGAGAGTGTTTGCGCAGAGCCTGCCTAGGACATATGCACAATA